TAACCCGGTACGCGCTTTTTGTTGTTTAAATGAGCTGGAAGTACCTTAAGATGAAGACAGCTTAGCCTTTCACTCGCCCGTTTGAAAAGAAGCGACGCGTGCTCATCGTGCCGTAATGAGGAGTGGGAAAAACATTCCTCGTGACTCGGCTGCCTAATCCTTGATAATTCCCTTTTCGGTAATTGCCCGTTACTAGCAGCATTAAGCAGCCACCGTCTGAGATAACGCGCAAATACAGTGAAACCGGCGCTCCTTGGGCGAGGACAACGTACAAAGGCTCCTCCTTGACTAACGAATTTGGATTCGTAGTATCAGTCCTCTTTCTGAAGCTGAAAGTTCCGTGCCATTTTCGGTAGTTTCACTTTGTATTTCTCTCTTTACTGCTCCGAGAGACCACCTGTACTAAACAGAACAAGTCCTTTCCAGTGAAATACTAAATTAGCGAAGGCATCAGTTTTTTCCATGTTTTCCCCTTCCTGGCACGTTTGTTCGGGGAAAAAAGATCTTTGCTACTAATTACTGTCTTTAAAGTGGTGTCTCCTCTTCTTTTTTTTTTTTTTTTTGCAGCGTTGAAGGTCTCACACTATTAATTGCTGTTTTGAAGGTCTTTGACTAGTTGTACTACTAAATACAGCAACAAATACTCCATGCAAATGCTTTTTTTTTTTTTTTTTTTGCAGCGTTGAAGGTCTTCACGCTATTGTAGTCTCAGATAGAGACGGTGTGCCTGTTATCAAAGGTAACTTTAGCTTCTCGCTGTGCCCTGCAACTGAAATCCTGAGTGAACAGCAGGGGGTGGAAAAGTACAGCAGAACCTTCTCTGGTTATGTCCCATACCTGAATATCCAAAACTGAAGAATTAAATTAGACTTCTACTTCAAGTTCGATAGTTGATTGTGTACCTCTTTAAATTTATCCTTTCGTTCGTGTATGTGCAATGTCCTCAATAATTGCAGGCCACAGGAATTTTCCTCAGTGAATAGGGTTGGAGTGGTGTAAGGGGCTCGTATCTTCAGGTCACTCACAGGCTGATACAAAGTACTCGAGAGAGCTTACGGGTATTTTGTTGACTTGGCTGGTCTGTGCTGAGGAGCAATTGCATCCGACTTCTACACAGGTTATTTAATTTTGTTTGCTTTTTGGTACTGTCATTTTTATCATATCTCTGCAGTCTTTGTTTAAGATGTCTTTGTGTTGTGGGTAAACTAGTTTAAGAGTACTGATTCAAGTACTGCAGATTTATTTTTTTTTTAATGTCCCAAAGTATTTAAACACCTAGCAGAACTTGCACATCTTCACCTGTGTTCATTCAAGTGACTCTGTGCCAGTAATCAATCCAAAGGCTGGAATCGGCGCAAACAGCGAGGGACACAGAACCAAAGTGACATCAGCACAGGCTGTGCATCGTAAAGGAAAAGACTGTTTCTCAGGCGTGCTAGGGAGGACGCTGGTATAACGAGCATTGATCATGTACAGAATATTACATGACGTACCGCTCGTGAAGATTGTCCTGTGCTTGTTGCGGAAGCATGCAAGATGTGTTACGTGTTCCCCAACACCAGATCTGCTTTTGGCAGAGCACTGAGCCGGATGAGGAGTTGTGATGCGGTCATAGACACCATGTAAAAATAAGAATTATCTTGTTTTGTTCCAGTTGCCAATGATAATGCTCCGGAACATGCACTGCGACCTGGCTTTCTGTCCACCTTTGCCCTTGCCACAGATCAGGGCAGCAAACTAGGACTTTCTAAAAACAAAAGCATCATCTGCTACTACAATACGTACCAGGTGAGTAACCTCAATGTGGCCTGTTCTCAGTGACCAGAGCTGTTCCTGAGCAAGGGAGGGGTGGTTTAAACTCTGCTAGATTTCCACTTGGCTGCTATTGAAGTATTTGTGTTTTATTTCTCACGCTGCTTAAATGGCCAAGCTAAACTTTTGCACTGTTTGTCGAGCTTCTCTTGCATTTCTCAAAACTGAGATTTACTGGTTGAAAATGGTGGAGTTTTCTGAACAGGTAGTAATCAGGGATTTGCAGCAGGTGCTGCTCATATGGCCTTCAGAATCTGTTACAAAGGGTTTATGTTCTCTTTCACAAACAATATTTGTTTATAATTAGCGACACCTAAAGTTAAATAAGCACATGCAGCCTACTTCATAGCCCATCTTGCTGCCAGTACGACTTGGAGGTAAGAAAGCTTTGAAATACCACTCATATTTTTTTACAGACTGATTATTTGTGTCCTGAAATCCATCATCTACTAAGTTTCTGCTCCTTCTCAAGTTCTAGTGGTCTTGAGAGCTTTTTGTTACGACTGCAGTAAACTGGCCAACTGTTTAGCCTACAGTATCTAGCTTTGTTTGGAAAATAAATGAGTGAATGAGTTAGTTTACACACATTGAGTACATTGCTTTGATTCTCTTGATGCTAGTAGCTTATTGTTGTGCTCAAGATTCCAGTTCCCTATTAATGGAAGAGGAGATGCTGCTATGCACTGAATAGTATTTTAAAACAATAAACCTGCCTGCCCTCGTGTTACCTGTGGAGGGTGTGGTCTCCACAGCATAGTCTGCAGCGTTTGCAGCCGAGTTAGATTTCAGGTGGGTAACACTGCAGAACATGGCAGGGAGGGAAATGCCAGGCTTTCCATGTGCGGCTTCCTGTACTGTGGTGCGAGTTCTGTTGGTGTGTTTAACTGTGAAGCTTAGGAAATGGATACACTGGAAAGTCAGCTCTGTGGCTCTTGCTCCTGCTTGTCCTTTAAACTGAGGAGGCTGCTTGTTTCAGAAAGAATTTATGTGACAGAGCTCTGACATCCAACATGTGTTAGCTGCTGCCTGAACACTGTTCTCTCTCCTTGCAGGTGGTGCAGTTCAATCGCTTACCTTTGGTAGTAAGTTTCATTGCTAGCAGCAATGCCAATACCGGTATGTCTTCCCGTGTATTTTAAATGTTGTGGTATTTTAAGGCCCAGGTGTTTAAATAATTGAAAATAAATTATCCAAATTTACTTCAAGGTATATTAACTTTGCTCCTGCTATGAATTTTGTCAGCGTATTGTGAAGGGGAGAAGGGAAGGGTGCGAGTAAAAACTCATAGATTTTAGGTGACTTGCTGAAGTTGTTACTCTGTTAGAAGCGTATTTCTCCTGTGATTAACCTTACCCTTGCTACATGAGTGTTCACTGCACCAGCAATGATTGTACTGTACAAACCAGTTGTTTGGTCTCTTTCCGTCAGTTCCAGGTTACATTCTGCAGTAACATGTGCGGCTTTGTCTTCTCAGTTCCGTGGGGTGGGGAAATCCTTCAGTGAAGCACCTGGCCTTGCTCATGAGGGCGTTGGCTAAAAAGGGATTTAATTCTTGCACAGCTGCTTAGGTAGCTGTGGGAAGCAGCGAGGCGATAGCGGAGGCGAGCAGCAGCACAGGGGAGAGCTGTGCTGCACAGAGTGTGCCCCTGTTGGTGGTGGGGGCTGCAGGCACCCTGCCTGGGGGTGCTGCCCACTATTCCCGTGGAGAGCGAGCAGCTCAAGTGAAACGTTTTGTGTTTGGGAAAACACTGCCTGTGACTTGGGAGGGGAGGGAGCTGTGGGGACTGGAGAGAGGCTTCTCAGTTATGTCGTTTGATGGGATGTTCTGTCTCCTCTCTCTTTCCAGGGCTGATTGTAAGTTTAGAGAAGGAGCTCACCCCCCTGTTTGAAGAACTGAGGCAGGTTGTTGAAGTTTCTTAACCTGATGGTATAGCCGGAGTGCAGCATCCCTCTGCAGCCCAGTGGACAAAAGATTCAATAATCCTCAGTCAAATAACATGTCTCAGAAGAAATACCACAGCTCCTTAGTATACTAAGTAAGAGTAAATTGTACATAGTACTGAATCTGAAATGATCTACTAGTGTGTTGTAGATGGGTGTTACTTTAGGCCATGCTTCTTGTATTGTGCAGTACTGGAGAGACCACCAAAATAGCTCCCATGGAGTTTAGCTCAGCCAGCTGAGCCAGATCGGCACGATGCTGTTGGCTCAAATGAGCAACCCACAGATCTCTTGCTTTACAGGGAACCGGGCACGCAGTGGGGTTTATCCTCAGGCCAGCTACCACTACGTGTTGGAAAGCAGATCGGTTGTATGGTGTTATCAAAGATGTGGTTGAAAGAGTATTGTGAGAGCAAGTTTACTAGCAGTGATGTGTTGGTACAATGAATAAATATCCCAGTTTTCTTACGTGGGTGATACTTTGGCAAAGGAATGCTACTAATCTGGATGCTATCTGCATCCTGCTTCCACTAAGAAGAAAGCTATTTCTACGAAAGCTGTTGCTTTAGGGGTTTTCCTGATGCCCAGATAAAAGCACCCGAACAATGTCTCACTTTATCATGGGGTTTTTGTGTAATATGGTTGTGAGATCTCACGTCTCGTAGTTGTCGTGTGGGTTCATCACTGGTGACACTCTCAGCTCATTTACCCTTAGGTTTTTCCTAAGTAAATAAATATAAATAAAATACAGTATTTTTAAATGACAGAGCCTGGTCCACTCTTCTGTTGCACCATAATACTCTACAGCATATCAGCTTTTCTGTGGAGAGAACAGGTCTCTTAATTATTTGTAAATGTACAAAACCCACGAGTTTACAGGCTGAAAACTAACCAGTGTATCTCCCAATTGGGTGATAAGGATACCAAGTCCTGTGCCAATGCAGAGATGCAGAACTTGGTGCCAACTGGCTTCCTGTTGCTGGGGATCGATCCTGTGCTCTTTGCCCCACCTCGTTCCCTCCCATATTCCGCTTGTGATGGCTGCAGTGTAGACTTCCAGCGCCAAAACCAAGCGCTGCTGGTCTAAGGGAGAGCTCTTGGCAGGTCTATGCCTCCCGCTGGGGAAGGGGGTGCCACTGCCCCTCATTTATACCTCACCCATCTTCAGCATCAGGCAGGATGGGGGGTAAACAGTGGTGCTGGAAATGAGGACTGGGAATTCTTGGCTCAAAAGCTCTATTGGAGATTAAAAGTTGTCAGTTAACCCTTTTCCATTTAAACTGAGCTCCTGGCTTGAGCTTTCTGTTGCTGGTCATTACAGAAGCAGCTAGAAACTGAGTCCCAAGGTGTCTCTGCGTGTATTTCTGGCAAAAAGCATTTGTGTTCCATCTGAGGCCTACCCTTGCTGTTAGCTTCTGTTCAACTCGTCTGTCTGTGACTGCCTCCTAGGCCGGCCAAGCGCCATTTCTTTTACTGGCTTCAGTTCGTGACACCATGTGCTGAACTCGCTTCTGACGTTTTGTAACACAGCCAGTTGTGTGAAAAAGGGAAGGCTGCTTTTGTGGTTACGCTTCAAGCCTCATTTCCAAGCCATTTTCACGGAACAGTAATGCTGTTAGAGAACATTCTCTCTCTCTCTCTCTCTCTTCCCTTTACGCTGCCTCTCTGTCACACAAACTCATCAAAGCTTTTTAACTAAACGGGAGATGCCCGTTTGTTAAACCACTTCTTTAAAGGAAAAAAGAGGACAAAGCTTTAGCAATACAGCACAGGAATACAGAAGACCTTTGGTAGTTTTATAATGACATTTTTTTTCAGAAAACAGTCTGTATAAAAATATTTACAAATATTTTGAATTTCTAAGTTGAAATAAAATGCTATTCCTGTCTCCAAATCTAGATTTTCTTTCTTCTTCTGGTATGTTTTTCCCCCTGCTCTTCGTCAGTCTTCTCACAGTAAAGGCATCTATTGAACGCTGACCTGCTGTGTGAGCAATACTAAGCCCTGTGCTGCAGCATTTGCATAGTGGGGGAGGTTTGCATACAGTTTCAGCAGAAACTTGACTGTTATGCAGGGTGATGGGCCCCCACCCCTGCAGGAGGAGCAGGATTGCTCGGGGGGTCTTGCAGCTGGGTCAGCCTTGAGGTCAGGCCAAGCTGGTCTTGGGACCCTCCAGTGTGTCAAACTTTGCTTCCAAAATGTAACATCTGTTTTGACTACAGCACCAAAGTACTGGGATTCTGCTTCTCAACTCTGTAGCGAGCCACAACACTGTTCAGTGTGTATGAGTCTTCCAAAATACAGATGGAAATTTACATCGGGTTATGTAGAAGATGTATTCTTTTAAATTCGTATTTTTAGTGTATGTGGTGTTTTTTGTTTAATATAAAGCAAGCAGTGCTTAATTCTAAACACAGTTCTGGACAAAACCTTGTTTTGAGTTCTCTGCGTGAGGAAAAAATACAAAATCCAGCCCATTTTCAAGGGGGACTGTAGGGGGCCCAACTCATAACGCTACTAACAACGCTGGTGGCTGCCACAGGCAAAGATTTCTGCAGAGTCCTGTCACCCATCCTTAAGGTCCCACGGCAGCTCTGTCATATGCATGCCGGGAACCAGCTGCCTGTTTCTCATAATCCTAGTTTGTAAACAAGCATGCTCGCATGATGCTGCTCACCATTACCTATAGATGCTGTCTGAAACAAACATTCACTTGTAGCCATCACTGTGGTATGAATCTAAACCATACAAAAACATATTTGACCAGAACTAAGTGTTACTCATCCATCACCTTGAGAAGGGCCTTGAAATATTCTCTGGATTGTAGTATAGATGCTATTTACAAAAATGTAATTACCTCTGTCATTTTTCTTTTGGTTTAGAGCCTAAACGGGTAATGCAAAAGAAATATTAAATGTTTCCAGAAAGGACCAGTTTTAAATAACAGGCTCAAGGTTACAGAATATGCTGCTAATGGTTAGTTGTGATGGAGCTTGCAATAAATTATCGAGAGTGCTCTGCATAACCACAAAAGTTTTAAACGGTGACTACTTCTGTGATTAGTTAACAGGTGTTTGAATTAAGTGCATTACAGGCATACACCATGCATATCAAACTGACACTCTGATCTTGCAACCGCCTCCACACGTGACTCAACAGCCCAAGAGCGCTCAGCTGTACGAATCCTCTGTGTGCAGAGCTGGATGCAAGCGTCTGTGCGTGGGCATACATGCGCATGCGTGCCCACTGTGAGTAACGGAGACGTGTGAAACCGTCCTCTTGTAAGCGATGCCCTCCCTTTGGCAAAGAGGCAATTCCTGCCAATGGAGCAGAAGTACTGGAGGTGCAGCTAGGAACTGAGGGTGGCATTATGCTGCTCCAGTTGCTTCCGTATTTGTGACTAGAACAGAAAGACAATCCATTACTGTTTGTCTGCATGCATGTGGATGTGGGTGAGTACGACCAACCCAAATACTGATACTTTTAAGGAAGTAACGCTTTCAAGCCTTTACATTCTCTTCTCATTGCTTCCTTCATGACCCAACACATGCGGTCCGTGCTGATGCTCCATATTGTCTACCCTCTACACAATGACATCCTTAAAGATGGAAGTAATTTCTTCCTCCTAATGAGTATGTGTGTTAAAAGTGCATCCCAAAAATGCTAAAGTGGGTTTGCAGGCATATACATTATGCGAAAACTACGTATTCCAGTCTAGTTGGCCTGGAAGCCAGAACAAGTACGCCCTTCTTGCAGATACCAAGAACTGTAGCACTTGGTGCTACAATATTGGGGGGTTTATGATGGCAGTACCAAGGGTACTGCTGCCTGAGGCGTACTGCCATGTAACACTGCACATCATCTTACCAGTTTCCATCGCAGTATTTTAATCCACTCATCAGCTTCTATTCCAGTTTTCGCGCACAGGTAGTATGTCCTTAGTGGGAACACTAAACTGTAAGTAAACAATTAAAACTATTTCTTAAATTGCTAGAACAACTGGTAGTTCTTCCTCAAACCGAACCCAGCTGGCCTGCACCAACAGTTGTTTAGGCAGAGCAGGGCAGGGAGGCCATCCTCCCATTCAGTCACCAGGAGGGAGGTTAGCCAAGAATGGTTTGTAAACAAGCACGCTCGCATTGACAGTAGTTTACAGCTTGGGGAGATGCTGCCCCAGGCCCATGAGGACAAAAGACCCACGTCTGGGCACAGAAGCGGTTACTGTGTGACCCGTAGCAATGTCTGAACTGGGAACTGGACCATACCTAAGTTCCATGGGTCTAGGTGATGATTATACATGCTTACAGAATTAGGAAAAGAAATGCCCGCTACACATAGCCCTACACCCTTCCTCCTCGCCAAGACAGAAAATTTTTGCCAGCAGTAATTTGGCAAAGCCGTGCAGGACTGACAGAGGCTGGCTGACAGAAACAGATTCGTGAGTTAGAGGAAGAGCAGGGTCACAACCGGCAAGGGAGCTTTCAGAAGCACCCAGTGGCTACATTTCAAACTTCCCTGGCTATTTTGACCTTCCCAGCAAGGTGGAGAAAGTACAGCAACTTACCAGAAACAGTTGACTCTTTCCTGGGAATAGTCAAATTGCACAGCTGAGCATTCAGTTAAGTCAAGTGCCCGAATCGGTTCTGTGGCCTTGAAAATGGTTTTAAAATGGAAACACATGAAAACAGAAGATAGGGCTAGCTCGGTTCATCTTCAGTGCGTCTAGACCTTTACAGGCACACTAGGTTTTTCCAGGCATAGGTACAACAGCTGTAACACCGTAAACCCAAACTAGCAAACGTAACATCAGTGCTAACATGATATGAATTGAGCTAAACATAAAAAAACCAGGACAGTCAGTTCAGATCTAGACAAACAACAGAGGAGATCTCTACTGCAGGAAAGTTTGAGCTAGATGCAGACTGCTGAGGGTTTGGTCAATGCATTATAATGTAACTGACACAGCAGCAAATCTGGTATCACTTCCAGCTAAGGTTTACAGAGACAAGGGATTGGTTATAGGTCTTATCAGGCCTAGCCAGCCGTTGGGGATTTAATTAATTCTAAGTGCTTTAAAAGGATGAAGCTGAGTAGGAAAAAATGCAGAAGCAAAGCTGAAGTAGTGCTTGTAGCAGAAGTGATGAGTCTGGCTGCATGAGCAGTGTGTGTATATATCTTAAGTTTCTTGGGACAGGCCCAGGAGTGCTCAAGTGTGGGGATGTGCACTGTCTGTGTATGACTTCAACGCATCTCCCTTACGAGTTTCATTCTCCCTAGGCGTGACAGTTCTTCTTTGATTTGTTTCAGCCTCACACTGTTGAGCACCTCGGAAGAGGCAGCTGAAGTAGAAGAACAGCTTGCTCTCTGCCCAAACACCCTTAGCTGTTCTCATGGTCCTTTATCAGGCGTATGGAGGTGTCTGTGCTTTCTCACCTTTCCTTATGTTCTCATCTGGCTCAGTGGCTGTTAGTTACGCACTACACTAGAAGAAAGCAACTTGTGCTGAGGTGTGCTAGCAAATGCCATCCCAGGGCCAGCAGCAAGTTGCTCACCCATAGGTATCTGTAACCCCACAGCAACAATGGGAGTGCCAGGAGACACCCACGCTGCCTGGGAGGGGGCCACATTCCTGACAAAGACACCTTCTCGCCTGGTAAGTCACAAATGCTACTCAAATGTTTGGAGTGCTGCCCTTTGAAATGTTATCCTGGAAACTTAATTCAAGTTGGCTTGAACTGAAATGAAAACTGATGGAAGGTCCTGTAAATACATAACCATTTATAAATGGTAATGTTTGGTGAGAGAGAGCAGTTGTGTCTGCCGTTGTGTTAAAATCTGTTAGATGCTTGAAATAGGGCTTGGCAGAGGTAAACAGTTTGGCTGTGTTTACGAAGGAACCTGAACTGGAGTATTGTAAGGGTGGAGAAACTCTAGGTGTATGTCTTATTTTTACTCAGTTTAAGATAGAAATGGAACAGCAACTGTAAGGACACACTTTTTCCCAGATGCAGCAGGTTAATCTATGTCAGAGTGCTAGGAAGGACGATGTCTTTAAAGGAATGTTTTTTTCTATGTATACTGTGCAACCACTTGAAATAAAAGGATGAAATCAAGGAATGCAAAATATACTACTAGTATTTGCAGAAATATTTTAATAGCACCACTGCCTGTTAGGTTGTGTGTCAAAGCTACCGATAAAAGCTGTGTTGTGCTGTTAGCTTAAAATCCACTGAAGCAAACAACCAAAAAAATGCACTGTAAACGACGACTCTGTCTAGTAGGTAAGACTGACAGGGCACAGTAAATGTTTTCCAGCTGTAAAACTTACTAACTTTCTCTTGTCTGACTTTATTTGAAAAGTCTGACCCCTCTAACAGTATAGGAAGCTTTAGCTTGGGAAGCTGTGATACAGATGTGAGAAGCCAGAGATAGGAGGAGGCTGCAGCTGCCTCTGTAAAGGTTTAAAGAGTAGAACTGGTGTTTGCTACTTACTGTCTGGTCTTTGAAATACTTAAGTTCATTCCTATGCAGTGTAAACCACCTTGTCTTCCAATTCTGAAAGATCAAGAACGGATGGTAATTGTCTTGTGAGAATTCAGTGTAATGCTTCTTAGGAAAGAAGAACCTTTAAAGCTGTTGACTTGCTCTGGTTTACAGTCGTGCTTTCTTGTTGCTCAAAACACAAACTGTTCCTCTCTGCAGGGGAATGCAGGTGGAGCTATTTCAGCTCCGCATTGTCTCCAGCTTCTGCGGGTGACTGCAGAGTGGAAGCAAGGAGTACGAGTTTTCCTTACCTTGACTATTTTGCCTTGTTTTATCAAATATCCTTCTTTTGTACCAAGCTGTGAAGTAACAAGGAAAGGGATCAGGGTTAGAGACTGAGCCCTGCTTCTATTTGCCACATCCCCCTCTTTGCCTACATCTGGAAGATGGAAAAGCGGCCTGTTCTTGGGGAAACTTCCCATGGCCACTTGCCCTGTCCTCACTCCTGTGCTCCCCTGACAAGGCTGGATCCACCATTAGGGTAAACATGGACCTGCGCTGGCTCTAACGGTAATTTCTTAGACCGTGCCTCCCTCAGCAAGCTTCTGGCCTGCATCTCCTCAACTAAACGCAGCACAATAGTTGTAGTTCCAGTTTATTTAGTAAAGTTAGATGGTTGCCTCAGTACATGTTGTAACCAGGAGCACCTGGGGTTTAGCTGACAGTGGAATTATTGACAGAAATCGCTCTTGAAATGCAAGCGGGGGGGAAAGTGGTGTTTTACTTAGGCATTCTCTTCTCTCAAACAGCCACATGCTTGAGAGGAAAAACCTGTTACATTCAATGTGCTTATTGACAAATTGTTTTTTGAACTGTTTCTCTGCCACCAGGAGTGACGTTGGGACCTTATGACTTCTCAGATACTGAAACTCTGTGTAGGGACCTAGTTGTGAGACTGCAGACCTCTGAAAACCAAATTCTTGCCAAGTTAATTACTACTTGCTCTTTAAAAAAATTCCCTTTTTATTGGTTGTATGTGGGCGTCAAGTTTCTTTGGAGGTTAAAATGGAACTCAGCCATGAAGGGCTGGTTGTGAGACACATCAGAAGTGGTTCTTTTATTAACGTCATTAACCCGTATTAATGTAACTCTTCCTCTTTCTCAAAAAATACAGTATGTAATTAAATACTTTCCTCTCTGTTCTGAGCAATACTGTTCTCGAGAAACCACCTGTCTCACTTAGATATGAGTTACAAGGGATTTAAAGTCTCTAATTACTGTCCAAGTGAGCCACAGATGTCAGAGCAGGTGGCCCAAATGGATATGAAGATGTTCTCTTGTTTCTCACACCAGTAAGGCATGGCTTTTAACATGACACAGCTTTTTACTGTGCTCAAAATTACTAGGGCTGAAAAGGTGGAAGCTCTTCTGTCATATCGCTCTATTTTGGGTTTAAGTCTAGTGTCAGAATACAGCAAGCTGTCTTCCTGCTTTAAGACAAGGTGATTCTAAAACAGTAAAATCCAAGTGTGAAAATGTCAAAAAAAACTTTTGAGTAATGTACCTATCAGGACACAGACACTCTTATTAACTTGGTTGTACTGCACTTCATTTTGGGGTTTCTTTTTCCAAATGTGTCCCTGCCTGTGTTGCACATCTTTGAATATTTTTTTCAAAAAGTCACTTTTTAACCAACCTAGAAAGTCAGAGATGCTCCTTCCTTCCCCCCAGTTAGGAAGGAGGCTGTATGTTGCTAACTGGGCAAAATAATTCTAACAAAGATGACTGCAAAAATAGTAAGTAGTAATGAGTTTATGACTGTCAGGACTACTATCTGTTTCCTGTCATCTAATCCTCATACTCACTGAGTGAGACAAAATGTGGTAAATCCTGTAGCTGTTACTTGGTTTTGCTATTTAGTGTATTCCTCCCCTCACCTGTGGGGAGAGAGACTTCCCACTGGCCCTAAAGGGTGCTTGGCAAAACAAGGGCTTACTGTGCAACCTGACATAGGTATTGCTGCACACAGCCTGATGAATGTTGTCAGAAAGATGTGAGAAGTGTTGTGTTTGTTTTGTGTGGTGTGTGTTTTGGGGGGTTCTGGGTTTTTGTCTTGTTTGTTTGTTTTTTTTAATGATAATGTTAAATAGTAAGTAGTAATGAGTTTATGACTGTCAGGACTACTATCTGTTTCCTGTCATCTAATCCTCATACTCACTGAGTGAGACAAAATGTGGTAAATCCTGTAGCTGTTACTTGGTTTTGCTATTTAGTGTATTCCTCCCCTCACCTGTGGGGAGAGAGACTTCCCACTGGCCCTAAAGGGTGCTTGGCAAAACAAGGGCTTACTGTGCAACCTGACATAGGTATTGCTGCATACAGCCTGATGAATGTTGTCAGAAAGATGTGAGAAGTGTTGTGTTTGTTTTGTGTGGTGTGTGTTTTGGGGGGTTCTGGGTTTTTGTTTTGTTTGTTTGTTTTTTTTAATTCCCGATAATGTTACTGCTAAGATGGCATTCTAAAGGGAAGATAACAGGAGAATGAAAACCTTTCATATATTCCTTGTTTGGATGGTCAGAATCACCTAGGTCAGCTGCAGACAATGTTTTCCCAGTGACAGCACTGAAGGTCTTGGTGACAACAATTGTAAAAGCCTTTATTTGTCATGGGACTGTACTTAGCAAGTCTGTGTTTGTTTTGTCTTGGTAGGCAAAGACTTCCTGTATTTATGAACCCACAAAGGGATGAATTACTGGTGTTATTCCATAGCTCCCTCCAGCAATCATACTAAACTCAGGCCAGGAGAAGCACCCCTCCCACCAGAACACAACTTACTGAGGGAGCATTTGGAACAAGGTCTCTTTCTGTCCTTCCCGTCTGCATCGCCGTGTGAACTCGGACGGACTCATAAATGGAAGGTTCTTCCACTTTCCGTGGGTAGGGATGCTTCAATACAATTAAGGTTCCTGGAGAGGAAAAGAGCCAGGATTAAGTCATCTGGCAAGACAGTCTTAGAAAATAACTGGCAGTAGCTGCCTGTTTGTGGAATGGTTAACTTTACCTTTCCTAAAATTAAAAAGGCATAAGAGCTAATAACCTCTCCAAGATCTCTGCAACTCTCCCTGTAAGGGGTTTTCCTTGGAAGGGGGCAGGACTCAGGCCACGCCCACATGTGAAAAACAATCAGATGCTAGAAATGACTCTCCCATGCTGATAAAACTAGACAAATATTTCTAACATGCATCATCTCAATAGTTTAGACTTTGTGATGGGTATTTTCTACAAAAATCCACCCATGCAAACTAGAAGGGCACTTGCTGCTGGATTCACTTGCCCAGTCTCACTTCCTTGGCTCTGTCGTGTTGCTCAGAGTCCTCAATACCTTGGGCACCTGGACCTTGCCTAAATCCATTCCCTCATCCCTGTACAGTGGGAGTCAATTTGTTCTTACATCTCTGAAAACAAGAATGAAAACGCTCTTCACTTCTTCTAAGCAGCAGGTAATTAAACCCCTTCTGCAATGCATGGTAAGTGGCGAAAAATCAAGACAGCAACAGAACAGGACCGTCAGACAACCCTCAAAGGCAGGTGTCTCCTGTCCTGCTTGATCTTCTTTCCAGTCAGGGAGTAACCATGTAATACAGAACAAACTGAAACACAGATTTTATAGTTACAGCTGAAATGCTGACCTACATGTGACCTACACTTTCACTGCATTCATGAAGATGTGACTACAGACATTATCATGCCTGTTTACATGCAACTGTGAAAACTGTAAATACACAGTACCTTTTTAAAACCTTTAAACTTACTAGTGCTTGCAGGGAATCACTTGACACATTAAATTCCCTTCCTGCACAGGAGGCTGGCTGGGTGGGTAGGCAGGATGCTAGACTAAGATACGAGGTCATAACAGTCATCCTGGTTTTGCCAACAACCCCCTGCTTGCTGCGTAAATCACTTAATCTGTCAGAGCTTCGGATACAGACTTCCTAACAGTAAGCCCACATTACCATTGCCTTTAACTGTTTTGCCATAGCTCTTTCCAGTTAGTAACATTTTGATTATAGCCATTCTTTGTTCTTCAAATAAGGCCATGTTTATTGCAAGTTCTCTGCAAAAAGCTGCATTCTCAATAGTGAATCTATTACACTATTCACAATAGTGAAGAACCTCCTTAAAATAGTAACTGCTACACCATCTAATCTCATTCTTTAAAAATAATGTCACAGCATACAAATGCTGCTCCATTTGCATTTTATGCTGATATTGTCAGCTCTTAAAGAGGAGGGATGCTAGAATTGGTAAGAACTTGGACTTGAAACCTACAGGTGATTGAGTAATTTAAAAGTGAAATAAACTTTAAAGTATATTTTGTAATGGGAAGGGCTACAAAGGGAAGTGGAAAAATTGAATTAACCAACTGAAATCTGTTCGCAGGCACAGGGGATGTATGCAAATGTGATATATTCAACTTGCAGTAAGTGAACAGTCAAAATTAGTTTAATTCTCTCTGGCCTTGCAGAAAAATAATGCTTTATCATTTAAAATGAAATTGAGAACACGCCCATCACCAGTCCACAGAAACTACTCTTAAGCTGTTGCATAGAATCAAGAGTACCATCCCCTGTACACCATGGATAAAGAGCCCTGCTGCAGAACTGGGAGGACTAGTTTAACATTTTATACAATATTTGTTTTCTGGTAAGTTCTCCATGTTTTTTCTTTACGGAAGATACTTGTACAGAATCATCTGGTAATGGTACAAAAGAACTAGTAAAAGCTGCGCTGTAGCAAGATTCTTCTTGCAAGTTTGTGCATGATACCTATTTCTAAAGGAAAAATGAAAATTAGTCCCATTGTTGGAGATGTTAGCTTCAAGTGACTTTGGCTTTTTTGTCTGGGTAATGACTTAAATGAAGCTGTAGTAAGACAAGGTTTGCTGGGCTTGAAGCACAAACCTGCAGCTGTCCCAGTACAAAAGAATCACTGAGCTCCATGGACCAGTTTGCAGGGGTGCAGGCCTGTGTGTTCAAGCACTGATCAAAGAGAGTCTGGTGTGCCTCTTCAGACACAAAACTAGCTCCAGTGAGACAAACTTAAATGGAAGATAGTGGAAACCATTACATATTCTCTCTCGTGGGTCTCTGTCTTAAAAAATCCTGTCCATAAGCAAGGAGGAGGTGAAAAATGCTATCTTGCTTTACTCTTTCATTCCTGATCTCACAGTGTTGCTACAGAAAATTGTTTGTAAGTATAACAAGGAATAAGAAAAACTGGTCCAACTACTTTCTACTAATGCCTGAGCTAAAGGTCGCTTGCTGCTTTTCACTGAAAGGAAGTGTGGCCTAAGAAATCAGACTCTGTTGCTGGCCCTTCTGCCAACCTGCTGTGTGACCCTGTGTTGGGCCGGTCATCCTGCCACACTGACACTTGGCTTAGAGTGGGCTCTGATGAGCCCCTACCCCCTTTTTGGTATAAATCAGTTACCACCCAGGAAACCTTTGATACCTGTATCTGAAGGAACATTGCCTGAGTGCTAACTCTCTCTTCCTCTCTACTGCTATCCATGGTAAGGTAAGGTGGAAGGTTTCTTGATGTGATGTTCAAATGGCTTTTCTTATTCTGTAGCACATCCAACTTAAAGAGGTTTCACAGAGCCAGCAGAATCTGATTAGGGAGCTTTAAGGCGAGAAGTGAGCCCATCATTCAGCAGTGTTGATCCTGTCCACAGAGATCACATAACACCAATGCCTTGATTACTAATGTCTGTAACACACGCAGTGAAGGAATGGGGAAATACAAGTTTTATATGTCATCTGAAATCTTTAGTGTTAGGCCCGTGGGTGCATGACTGATTTCACAGGAAAAACAGCTTACTGGCACAAAAGATACATGTAGGAACTCCGTGTTTGAACCACTCTTAAAAGCAATTTAAAAAGAGAATGCTTTGAAAGATACAAGTGCCATATTGAGTATACCACTGCATTTCTCTTGGGGGAAAAAAAATTTGCAAAGCAACCCTTGAATTTAATGCTTGAGTTAAAAGAGCACTGGTGCATATTTAATGTGTGACATATTACAGTTATTGCATGTGCCAACTATCATTTAACTGGTCTCTTGCACGTATAATTAGTACTACTCTGAGTTATTTGCATATACTTTCTACACACGATACTGTAGTTTTTAGCACTAACTTGTACTGACACATCTTCAACTCTTACATTTGAAGCTAAACCTAAAACTGGCATTATCATGATAATATGCATCTGTTTCTCCAGGGATTCTGGTCTGGTGGTGTTCAACTCACTTGCAGGAATCAAGTTTAATCTTTTGACTCTTAATTCAGGCAGCACATTGGCTGCTAAAGAAGCCTGTGCTTTTCTCCCTCTTTTTCTTAAAACCAAGACAAATCACTGTGATGGCAGATGGCATCAGCAGGCTGATCCACTGTAGACAGAAAGGGAGAGGTAATACAGGCCACATTCCCTACAGGAGAGAGGAACATATCACTGTAGACTTCTTCCTTGGATGAAGAATAGCGGAGATGAACAATTTCAAGTCCCTTTTCCATTTATTCTTATTGGGGGATTTCAACTTCATAGATGAACATTTATTTCCTCATTAAACACCTTGCTTTGGTTTTGCCCTTTTTGAGAAGGTTCTGTTCCTCCCAGTACATGTGTATTTTGAAATGCTTCCTTCTCTCTCTGAGAAATCAAAAGGAGCTCATGTCCCTGGTTAGCAAAACCCAGTAAGCTTACATGTAGTTTGTCTGAATTCAGAGTACGTGAAAGAGTTTTTGAAGAGGAACATCTTAGATCCTGAGGTTAATACAAAGGTGAATTTCTGAAGAGAAACACTTCAGCAGTAGATCTATTTGATAACATATCGGAAGCTCCTTTTACTTAGATCTGTGTGAGGCATGACTACAAACGTGTTCATACAAACATATGGCTCTCCTTACCTGTTTCACTTCCAATTAAAGGCTGATTTGCAAAATGCATGACTAATTCCTTCAAGCTAGAAAATTCATTAAATCCAAATTTGAATGAAGTTCCTGTATGTTCAACATGGAAGTGTTTCACGGAATCCTTTCCCCTAAGATAAAAAAGGAAAATCTGTCAAGGCATAAATGCCAAACTCATTTGGCATGTACAACCCTTAAATAGCAGCTTCCACTACAGGAAATCTGGCCCAGATCACAGGCTGACAGTCACTGTCCTAGCAGTAATACTACTGCCATTACCGTCCCTCACTAATACTCAACACATCTGAGACTCAGACTTATTAAGAAAAATCTAATTGCTGCTTTACAGATATGAGATTATGAAAGCCTATAAAGGCTAAGTAAGTTAAATTAACTCTTGTGGCAATCAGTAAAAAGACTCACAAATGAGGTTTCCAGCCTTCTGTCTAAGCAGGATGATATCCCTTCACTTACCGGGCTTTTGTCTTGGTATATGTCTTACTTTTCAGGTAACATCCCAATCTCATTGAAAATGTCTTCTGTTTCTCTTTCAAAAATAGGCTGCCTCGCCTCCTTTTTGCCCCCAAACAGGGATTTAATAACCTAACTTTAGATACCTAAGGCTTTAGCATTTGTTTGCTTTGTCTCTGTACTCAGAGGAATGGTTCCTCTACGATGGGCACTGTCAAACATGAACCAGGGTCCTTTGTCTGTCGGGGAAGTAACAGCGTTTGTTTATGAAAGCTGATGGTATTTAGAGAAGTGTGCAAGGCCTCGCTTCCTGCACGGGCAATTATTTTGACTTCAGAAGACAATGAAGCACTTATTGCAAGTATCTCTCCTGTGAAAAAGTTACGTCTGTTAATGTTACTAGCATCTAAAATAGTCCAGAAAAAACTTTGTCTCAAGAAAAACATATGCAGCAAATATACTGAAAATATGGTGAAGAAAGGGATTTATAGTGTCTTTTCCATTGTTTATTGCTACTTCCACAGGAGATTATAATTTCAAATAAGTATTTAAACAAATATTTATCTTTGAACAGTACTCGTGATATTGTAGAACATGCCTCTGACCTCCCACGTTTTGCGCTACAGTCAGCTGAGACACAATATGTGCAAGCCAAGTGCAGATGCCCTACAACAGCAAATAGATGCTGGGACTCTGCTGCAATGACAGGGTTGTCATCTTGTCATTTAATTTCACAAGAATACAATGTTGCAATGAGAGCAACTTCTACTCTACTTCCTAGTTCCTTTTTAAAGCTGGCTAATTTAGCTGGGGGAGGGGATTTCAGGCAATATGGGATCTCTCTTCTTACAGCTGTAAATAAAAACCTCAAGGGATGTCTAAGCATTGTTGCCTTTCAAAACAAACTATAATAATGACTGAAGTTCCTTGTGAGGCAGAGGCAGAAAGTAAATTAAAAGCTATAGAAGACATTTTAGGAGAGAAAGAAAATGACAGCTAGAATTGCTAAAGTTATCCATTCTACAAAAACGTATCAGAACAAAATTGAATTACTTATTCTAAAATTAAGTTTTAATATTAGTCAAAAAATGGAAGGGAAAACTTAAGAGTTAAACAAACAGTAGAAAATTATTAAAACACTTAAAAATCAGTATTTCAAGACAGCTGTACCACCAAAAAACTAACGTAACAGAATAAATTATCAAACTCCAGACTCCAGACTGGAATATTCAGTTCAAATGGTAATGCAGTAAGTAACTCTTGTTCCTACATGGAGAGCTGAACAAGAGATTGGAATTGGCCTGAAGTAGACTTTTCTAGGTCTTCTAAGGCTAGAATTTTTTAAAGCAGCAAATTTATTTTCATTAACTAACATTTCGTTTCCTAGAAAATTATTAAAACACTTAAAAATCAGTATTTCAAGACAGCTGTACCACCAAAAAACTAACGTAACAGAATAAATTATCAAACTCCAGACTCCAGACTGGAATATTCAGTTCATATGGTAATGCAGTAAGTAACTCTTGTTCCTACATGGAGAGCTGAACAAGAGATTGGAATTGGCCTGAAGTAGACTTTTCTAGGTCTTCTAAGGCTAGAATTTTTTAAAGCAGCAAATTTATTTTCATTAACTAACACTTTAACTTTCGTTTCCTATTAAAAGAACAACTATTTACATTTTATTTTATTACAGTAAGTTGTTTCCTGAGTGCCCTTTAAAAATAGCTTCAAGATTTTTTTTTTTAATTGTCTGAGGTAGATTACCTCAAATAATGTTTAGTTACATTTTAAAGTAAAAAAATAGTAACAGCAAGACAATGATTCACTTAAAATTAATATTTTTTTAAGGAAAGCTATTACTTATAAATGCTACTACTCTTTTTCCCAAGACTTGCACTCAATTCAGTCATTGCTACTGTGAATACTCATTTTGTTAACATCATCTTCAGATCTGTCGGGCACCCCCCCAAGCTCCTTGTATAAATGGCTGTCTATAGTGGTAATGATTTCAGCAGTGTATGTATCGGCACACTTGCTCCTGGGTCTTCTGTCAGAGACGAGTGAAGCAATTCGTATTTGCCTTTTATACCTCTGGGGAACAGGGTATGTGCAAATTGCACTTTCCTCAGTTTCCAAGCAACTACACTTCCAAATTATAACAGCTCCTGGTACTGAATATGCAGAAAGTCGCAATTCAAGGGCATATGCTGTGTTCCTATCTATTAGGGTTGTGAATAACTAGCATCATTATACTGATCAAAGTGACTTTAGCTTAAAAAGTTACTGCGATTCAACTGAGCTGTGGTCATTAATTCTTCAGAGGCTCAGTTTGAGGCAGAAATGAGCGTGAATGCACTAGCTCAAAATTTCATTGTAGAGGCTTAATATACCATACAGTTGCCAAAGGCTAAGAACGTATTTCGGGTTGGTTACCTCCCATCAGCTGACATGCAGGGACTACGTTGTGTATCTAATGCATACGTCTTTCATGTTGCCTCTCTAAAATATTGTGGCTTCCCTCCTTCTTGGGAGATTCTTTAAATGTGATTCAGCAGTGAAGTGCCCAGGCCAGGCTACCTGTGCTCTGTATTGGCTGTGTCCTGAACTGGTATAAATTGCTGTAATTCACTTCAAGGGCCTGATGCCTGTCACTTTCAAAATATTGTTCAAATTAGTCATGCATTACTGGCTAAGACTGAGTCTTAGCCCAGAACGGAGGACTAAAACCATCCAGTCAAACACTGGGTCGTCCCTCAGAGATGATTGTTCCTATACAGTGATGCAGAAACTGGTGAAGTTAGTGCCTATTAACTGGCACATTTACTACTGTCCTCATCATGAAACTTTTCTACTCCCATCAGCTGTTTCTTAAACTCTTGCAACTGCCATACAGATTTTTATCATGCAGACTAAAAATCCACAGCCAATCCATGGAATGATGTTTTTCGCCAATAAGATTAATTCATGGTTTGGAAAAATGAGAGCAATTTTCAAATCCAATCCAATTTTTTTTTTCTTCTAACAAAATGTCATTCAGCAGGATTACACCATTAGGAACATATATTAAAATAGTTCGAGCCCTAGGAAAAAATCTGCAGGTCATTTCAATGCATGACACATGCAGACAAACATGGGACTAAATGAAGATTTTAAAACTGCTAGCTGTGCAGCATTAGATAAATTAACTTCTGTCCATACTCTACCTTACAGAGAGGGAGTACAAATTTTCCCTTTCATTACTCTTCCTCAAGAGATAGCTTCCATCCTGCCCGTTGGAAAGCAGCAGCGCTTCTGCTGCATGTCGGGTAAGATTATCATGATACCACCTGGGAAGACACAAGGGGTTAAAGCATCATTCACTCAGCTCTTAACGGACAGCTTCTGCTGCATTATGGAGCCGAGTTAAAGAGGAGAGACTGCAACTAACACTGCTACAATTCTGAGTTACCATCCTTCTCACAGGCACACACTGGTTACACACACCTGTGCCCCTTTCAGCAGCCTCCTTTCAACACGCTCAGAAAACTATTTATTTTTTGTTAACTACAAAGTTGTGTACAAACAGCTGACAGTTTGCTGAATCTAAAAAACCCTGCAAATTCTACTTGCACGAGCAACAAATTACCCAGGTCTATGCTGACAAGGTGAAAGCAATTTTGGGGGGTATGCAGGATTCTTTGTCTATTTTCAGAATCTGTACTTCCTGACATAACTACACGCTTTGGTATGCTTCCTCTTTTGGGGCAAACAGGCAACACTTAAACTCCTCCCAGACTCTCTATTTCCCGCAACTCAGTTCATCTGCACTGCTAAGATCTGCAGTTAAACACATTTGCCTAAGTGTAAAATGTTCATTTAAAGCATAACATTTTTGGAAGAAGGAACAGAGGAAGGGACCAAAATTAACTGACAGAGTTTGAAGTGAAAATTTAGGAAATCTCGCCATTGTTGCCGCTCGGTCATACGTGGTCTGGGCAATGCAGGAAAACATCTAAACGCCTGCTTCATCTAACCTCAGTTAAAACTAACTTCATTTATTTTTTTATATGAAGAATTGCACAAGAAATCCACAGGAAAAAAATCCTGCAAAGAAGATAATGAAATGTTGTTTACGGCTTTGTTTCCATCCAGAACGATTCACAATAGAAACATCTGATGTCTTTCAATAGAAAAGGATCTCATTAGAAATGATCCTGAGACCGAACACAAAAAAGAGCTGCAGCTATAAAAGGCTGGAGTGCCAGTCCTGTAAGACGTGCTGTGTGCAGATATTAACGACAGTTATATACACACACCAGAACCTCTAGTGCAGAAGGAGGAGGGGATACTGTACCCAGGGCACAGCTCTGCAGGGAGCAAGCTTCTCCCCTTGTCTGTACACGGAGCAGTGCCGAGCCTCCTTCCCCTTCCTTTAAACTGTGTGTGCCTGTAGTATTGGGGTCAAAGTCTTATTACTGTTTCAGCCAGAGAAATGCAGTTTGACTGAAAGCAGAAGTGTGATCACAGAACTTTCTGGCATTTGTATCGTGGCAGTCTTCAAACTGAAACGAGGTGTAATTGTATACTCATTCTCCTTAACTGTTCATTGCAAGTTGCCACTAAACTTGGCATCTCAGACAAAGTTTTAACTCTGAATTTAGACGGCTGCCTATTTGAAAGGCCAGCTGGCTGATAAATTGCTTTATGAGAGACTCCAGACTGTTAACCCTGTGGAAGACAAGATCCACGTGAAACTCAATACAGACAGGGTATTGCTGCTTTGGCTCTAGAACGTGCTCCGTGGACCATCTACACAGTAGAATAAAATAATGAATATTTAAAGATCAAAGTGTCATCCTCTGAAACACCTGTTAGCCAAAATCCGCTTTGGGATTAACTGCCCAAGTAAGTAACAGTCAAAGGTCAGATCTGTCCTGATGCGATGAGGATCATATCAGCATGCACGCTTGGTTGTACCTACAGCTGAGAAGACAACACTGTATTTTGAGTGGCATTTCATAACACTATTTCTCTCACTTCTGTGCAAAAGAAACATACACTGAGAAAATCTGTAAGTGGTCATTTTCATAAAGGAGGCGCATTCAGTTTGAGGTTGCTCATATGTGCACTGTTACCTTATTTCCAAAAAGTCTTTTACTAAGATTTTAAAATAGAAGTCACTTAAGTTTAAAAAATGTTGTGTTTAAATCTACTCTCTCTTTGCACATAAAGGGCCAGTGACTAATGAAATTTTACCACTATGCAAAAAGAAAAACCAACAACCAACCAAAAACCAACAACAAAACCCTACCCACTTAATTGGGAAAATAATGTTGGTTTAAAGTGCAGTTTTAAATCTTTGCTAACAAGGTTGCACCAGTCTTCTTGCCTAAATATGCTGTCTCAGACAAAAATCCCTCAAATGTTACCGTGTTCCTCTTGCTCAGGTTAAAAAGTAGACGTGGATTTGAGACAGTATACAGATCTTCATGCCAAAGTCACTGTGGTATACATAGCTGCTTTTTTTTTTTTCCTCCTCCTGACTGTCACAGATGGTTCAATCAGTAACAACCGTCAGGTTACTTGGATATTCCAGTATGAAAATGGTCACTCAAAATTTGTTCCAATTGCATGAACACAGGTAAAATTTTAAAATGCTGTGGAAAATTTAGCGTTTGCACACAGACCACCAGGAAGGTAAATAAATACATACCTATGCAAATAGTCTTCTCTCCCAATCAAGCCTGCCTGATGACACAAATACAAGTAAACAGGACTAAAAAGAAACCCAAACAGCCCTGTGGTTAGACACTACCAGATACGCTTCAGTTGAATTTAAATATTTGTCAGAGGACGAATCCTTCTATTTATCTTGTTTAGAAAAAATCTTTTAGGCAGTTCTTTGAAATTTGCAGGTAAATCAAGGTGGGAGACATGGCTCATTCAGCAAGACACTGTAAAGGGCAGTCACCTTTAGCTTAAGTTTTGGTTGTGTTCTGAGTGATACCTGGAGGAGAAAACTGTTGATAGAAAACATAATACTATATCTACCTTCTTGCCGTCTTAAAACAAGAAATTAAGGAAATCAAAAGGCTTTACAAACACCCATCTGTCTGAAGCCCCTAGCAAGTCCTTCAAAAAGCTGAATTGTCTTAATTCTTTCATTTTGAACCATGGTGCGTATCTTGTATATTGGGCTGTTTCTGAAGGTCCTTCCAAAAGTCATCTTTATTTGACCCAACTTACAGAGTCTGGTATTCACTACCAAAAAAATCTAGAAATATGCCCCGTACGTTGACATTTGTCAGACTGAAAATCACCAGTAGTGTAGAAATTGCCTGAGGTTCCTGATGCAGATTTCTCTGAAGAAACACAAGAAGAAAGATGGAAGAAAGTCCTTCCCTGCTTCAGAGCCACTTCTGCTGGGTGCCGTTGGCCTTGCAAGCCCTCCTGTCTCAAATGCATACATACTTCTGGGAGGTTCTTCTTTTCTAATGATTTCATTTCTCCTATAAAAAAATCCTGCATGCTCCCCTTTTTTGGGTTCCTTATCGCCGATTTTACTAGCGATCTCAGTTTCAGAGTTTGTAATTGCTGTCATTTACCCATTCTTGTTACTTTAACTTTGTCCTAAATTACATTAAATCTCTTCATCCCATACATGTAAGCATGTTTGTGTTGTCATTGCATGTTGTTGAAGGACCATGCTATTCTTCCTGCTCTTTGGAGTGGAAGAGTCTGCTGGGCCCATGAAAGCACGTCTTAAGATGGGCACACAGCCCTCGTGAGATTGCCTTTGTTTCTCTTTGGAAAAGAAAGTGTTTTCAGAAATCAGCCTATTCTTTATATCAGATTGCATCGGTGACACTGCTGTTAAGAGAAGGAGGAGAAAGAAATGAGATGCACAGTGCCCCACAGAGCCAAAACTCATAAGAGCACACAGCCTTGCCCTGAGGATCTGCCCACCCAGTCACTAGTGGGGTTCCCCTGTGGGGTAAGCTGGTGGCTGCCACAGTACAAGCCATGTCTATGCCAGCCGGCCGTACCACTGCAGCTATGCTAATCATCACAACTCCAGAATAGGACACACTCCCATTAAAATCTCTTCTTTCATTAAGATCTCTGTGTAGTTAATGCAGTGACTGGACCTCCCTACACAGTGGTGATGATCAGGAGTATGTTACAACAATGTTTGGAGTGGGAAACTCTCTCTTCAGGTAAGAATATCATCCCCAAAATGTTCATTTGTTCTTTTCTTTAACAACCCATGATGTTTCAAAGAAAAATGTTAATAAAACTTCATTTCTATGTCCCCTACAGATCAGACAGCCCTTAGGTATTAGCATCTGTCATTTCTGATAATGCTGTTGACAAAGAAACCATATGGGTATTTTGCAAAACATTTCTGCCTGTGTAAACAGGGGCTGGTGAATAAACCTGTAGCTGGCATCAGGTGGATTAGCTTTTTAACAACACTGGAATACACAAAGAACACAAACATGGTTAACCCAAGGATGAATGTTGAGTGACTTGGATAATTATCTTCTCAGCCATTTCTATGTGCAAACTGTGTAATGCCTAGTAGAAACACTCGCTTTTCTTCCTCATAAAAATGAAAGATAGATAGCGCCAGAAGAGAGCACAGCTAGAAGTTCTGACTGCCGTTTGTTTTTAGTGTCTGAAGTGATAACTCTGAGGTATGCCCAGCTATCAGATAAATGCAGTAGGCAGAGGTCACGCTTATTTTGTGTGTCCTTATCAGATTATGTTCTCAGATAGTTATAGCCTGGATAGAGTTAGAAACTGTGTGCGTGTTTGGCTTGCTTTTGTAAGGAGTCGGGCAATTCAAAGTTCCTTCTCTAAAGCAGGAAGGAGATTCTCAGTATTCAGCTGGGTGATCTCTCTGCTCCCTTCCCAGAAGCTCCCTCCCCTACCACAGAAGGTGCAATACTGCTTGTGCTCCTCGGTGGCTGACCGTCCCCGTGGAAAACACCTCGGCTGCCTGAGCTGCAGGAGCCAAGCAGAAACACAGCAAATCTAATTCATCTTTCGTCCACCTCTATAAGGAAACAGAGATCTGCATTAGGGGCGAGACGGTCCAGATGTGCTCTCAGTAGGACTTCAATATTATTCAGAGCAGTTATTTATCCTGGGTTGGTTTTTTTTGTGGTGGTAGATGTTGGCAGGTTTTGCACTTTTTTCGTATTAAAAAAACATCTTCTACCACAACGAGTTGAATTTTCTTACACTTTGAAACTATATACTAGCCTCAAAGACATATTCCCATTCTTAGGTTAAAGGAGTAGTACACTGTACTGCTTGATGGAGTGAGCGGGAAAGCACTGACTTATCTCCTTTGGCTGGACGCAATGCTCAAAATAGCCTCACTAGTTCTCTATTCTCTGCATGCTGGATTTCAGCAACTTCCAGATCATATCTGTCAAGTTGTTTGGTTTTTTTTTAAATTTTAACTTTTTTCCCTAATACCAAACCCTAGAAGCACTACCTATCATCTGAAAGTCGCAAAGGGCTCTCTGTACCTCACGCCAGTAAAAGCGAAGTTTTGGCAATGTTTTTAAGGGTGCATGAGTTGACAGAGCTCTGGAGAACCTACAAAAGGGTGAGGATGCTAAGACAGAAGTTATAGGTGGCATACAACCAAAATTGGTATTTATTAGACATCCTTTCAATGTGTCACACTGAAACACTTAATCACACACCTATGTAAAGTACTTTGTTGGAACACAAGGGTGCCATTTCACAGGAAAAGTAATTAAAAAATAGAAATATGAGGAAGTAACATCAGTGTGTCCAGCCTTAAAGTTCATGTCTTCTAACTGTAGGCTTTCACTAGTTCAGCTTCTGCTTTTCACTTCCGTTTTCTCTCCCCCTTCTCTCAACTGCCTTTGTTCTGATTTTCACCCATTTCTTTTGCCCACTTTCTAACCGTTGTAATTTTGCCTGTGTTTACATTAGAAATATAGATGAAGAAAAAAAATTCTTATTACCATTTGCCCTGTCCCAGTCATACAAGTTCCTCAGTTCCCCAATTTTATCATCATCTGATCTAGGCCTGTGGCCTAATTTCTCTTCTGTTACTAAAACTAAGCATGAAGTGTATTGTTCAGTCTTCCAAATACCATCTGTCATGGTATTGTCAAACCTGGAGCTGGAGGAACATAAAAGCTGTGCTGCGAGGGATGACAAAGAACGCTCGGACTGCAAAAGGAAAAAGGCTACAAAAACTTGTTTCCTCTTGCCCCGTTCCTTTCACCTCCAAAAGACAAACAGTGTCGCCCAAGCTGTGCTATGTTGGGACGGAAGCTGTGTGACCAGACCAGCCTGTAATTACTCGGATGATGAGATATTCCACATTCTCATCTCTTGCGCAAATAACGTGAACTGCAATGTGGAATTCCCCAAACTCACATTATACGTGATCAGCTACAGGAGTTTCACACTGCAGTGCGCAGGCTGTCCTTTTAGCAGTAACAGCAATAAATGTGATTTGATTGGAAAAAGGGTTGACTCCAGGAATAGCCAAAGAGACCTTCAAAGAAGAATCACGATGTCAGTTTCCTTTTCCTTTAAGCCAAGATGCTTATGTCTCTCTTGACAAACTTCAGTGCTCCCTTCCAAATATTTTGGTAGATTTAGGGAAGAAGTTAATGAATGAGGTAACACGTTTTCAACAATGTGTTCTGATTTTGATCTTCCTTTTCATTAGGCATTAGTTCCACCTATAAACACCTTGACAATGAAGCTGACAGTAATCTGAATTTTCACTTTGAACTCTTGATTGTTTGACCACCCAAACTCTCCAAATAAATATGTCACCATCTTCCCTCAGACTGAATGAAGTAGTTTAAAAAAAAAAAAAAGCCAAACCCATCACTCTTGCTTTCTTTTGTTGTGATGTAAAAGGTCAGAAAGCCCATCTTTACAAATACTGAGGCTCTGGGGAAAAAAATCCAATCTGATGAACAGCTGTAGATATATCTAGATCTTTCAGTGACTGTGATTGTCCTGATGATAACTGGGATAGTTAAATCTTACTTCTTGATCTTGTTTTTGTGACAGATGGGATACCTCTAGAACAGGGGTAAAATAGATATAGATTGATTTTTTTTTCCCCTCCCTCCCGCCTTGCTCCCACCAGCTCCAATATTCTCAGTGTAATTACAGGAGCATTGATCTAGAACAGTCCAGCAAATACCAGGTCCTCCAAACCTAGCAGAGAGTCAGATAGGTTTTATGCTGTATACCCATCTACACTGCTGTCAACTTTCCATTTTGATGACCAGCTGACCTGGTAAACTATGAGGATATCCTGGTACCCAACCTCCTTTCTCTTAAAAGTAAATAAAAAGTCCTTCCCATTTCACGCTTCTTCAAACCTTCTCCAACTTCTTTGATTTTTGCACAGTAAAGCAGAAGTTCTAAAATAACCTGCTTCAAATTCCCCCCCCAAAGGTATATGAACATCAACGCTGCTCCTCATTTGAATGACCCTTGTCTCTGTCGGTCTTTACTATGGCAATGACATATATTCCTTACCAGAATTGGGTCTCGGTTGTGCAAGATACTATGTCGGCTGTAAGGGGAACTCAGCACTGTGATAGCACCAGAGACTAAGTTTAGGATAAAAAACCCTTGTGGTGGCTGAGAATTTAATGTAATGGTCTGGAGAGTGACACACCTACTTCTCACAGCTGAAAATGTATTTACATTAAGAGATCTTTTAGACCGTGCTACCAGAATGTTTAGTGTGTGAGATCATCTATGAGGACAAACTCCTTGCCAACCAGCGAGGCTGTTTGTAAGCACAGGTTACTGGCATAAATCAACTCAGGCCATATAGTCTAAACGAACAAAAGTCTGGTAATAGGGAATCATGCTTCCCACAGCAGCCGCAACTTTTTTTTTCTTTTTTTTTTTTCTGTAGATACTTTTTTAGGATGACTGTAATCTTACAGATGTAAAGGAAAAGTATATAATGGCCACTCTGGGTAACACTGCAAAGTGACTTGACTTCATTTCATGTTTGTTAGATGCTTCAGTAACAGGCATTTCATTAACAGGTTCTTCTAAATATGGGAAAATATCAGCAGTGTGGAGATAGTAATTCCAAGTTTCTTTGTTGCACTCTAATTTCTTCAGTAAGTGAATTAATCACAAAAATAAATGATGAGTTGGTCCTTATCCATAAGTACTCAGGAAGCAAAAAACCTTTACTTTTTTCATCTATTCTTTTTGAACGCAGAGGTGACACCAGAGCCTTTTTGCTTTGTCAGTATCTTCACTGGCCTTTCTTCTGCTTTGTCTCCCCTTCACTTTTCTGCCACCGGTCCTTCCCTCCCTGTGCCCACCTGTGCCGCTCCTCCAGCCCACGTTTCTTCTCACCCACGGCAATGCTGCCGGTGAAAAAGTAACCCAAGCCTTCCTCCTGTAAAAGCAAAACTAACTAGCAGACAAAATGGGTAAGTCACATCGGACAGGGAGCGAGGTCTGTTGCAACCTTCGGCCTTCCTTTTTGCTCCTCGGGTTTTGCTTTTGAGTAAGGGTGATGTCCTCCTAACAGCTGCAAACCATCCACTGCTCTCACTACCAAAGCCCAAGGTGCCCTGGGGATGCCTGCTGCCTCCCAGGGCCCAGCAAGGAGCAGCCGGCATGGCGGCTGGGATGGCAGCTCACTGGGCCAGGGCCCAGGCCAAGCTATGAGGAGATGGCCAAAGGGATGGCACAGCTCTGTAGCCAGGGAGGACAGACAGCTCTGAGGACAAGCTCTGGGTTTGGTGCTCCCTTGAGATGCAGGTAAGCGATGCAGCACAAACCGGGCTCTTCGCAACGGAGGAGGTTTCGACACTGCAGAGCTTCTCTGAGTGAAGCTGTAGCCCCCTGCCTCTAATTCTCCACTATATTTGAAACGCCTGCCTGCGCTCTAGGTTTTCTATTTATTTATTTCTCCCACTCACCTGCAGCACGCCAGCATCCTCGGTACACGGGAGCCTCCCGGCCTCTCAAACGCGCCACGCGGATGAGGCGCTGGGCATGTCTGAGGGGCTGCACACCATGCATGGAGCCCTTCGGCGGGCTCATTAAACAAACCCCAGTTTATCTTATTCCTCACTTCATTACCAAATTAAGCAGCAAGAA